TTTCTAGTCTATATTTATGCACAGAGGAGGGATCTAACAGGACAAAAGGAGCTGAAAACTTGACTGTGTGTGTTTAGGAGGACAGCCAAGCACCCAGTGACTCAGCAAATCATGCAGGAGACAGATATGTAGTCCAGTGCAGCTACTCATGCTGAGACCATGAACAAGTGAGTATCCTCTACAGTGTCAGATTCCTCATCTGTCCAATGGGACTCAAAAGCGCATTAACCTTTGGAGTTTTGAAGTGATAAATGTCCCATACAGGTCTTTACAGAAAGCTCAAAAAAATCCTAGTTGCTTTCCTTTAGTATCAGGTTAGAAAAGCATCATGGAAGAGAGGAAGGCCACCCAAAGGAAGCAGGATCAAGGACATCACCTCAAAGCGGGCCAAGAAGTCCTTCAGGTTTGGGAAGGGATCCAGGCACTTGGGCTCAAACATTTGATACTGATCAAGGACATCATAAGCGAGGAAATCCACATAGGTGACCTGCAGGAAGCTGAGGGTCAGGGCACTGAAATGTGGCACCTTAAAAGAATGACAACGCCTCCTCTCCACCTCCCTCGCTTTACCTTGTCCCCTGCAAACCATGGCCGCTTGCCCAGGAACTCAGAGTACATCTTCATCTTCTCAGGGATGGTCTTCAAGAACTCTGGCTTCTGCTTCTCCTGAGGCAGAAAACAGCTGTCACCACCCTTAGGCTCAGGCTCCCCAGTGGAGAGATTGGCCTCCCAGTTCTGTGCAAGGGAACAGCCACCTTCCCAACAACAGCCCAGGTCTGTTTCTAGGCTTCTAGTTCACACATCACTATTTTATTGGTGGCAGAATTCATGTCAGAGGTGATGGAAAGTCAGACAGGAATTTCACACTGTCCCCGGAATGTGCCACCACCAAAGTCTAAACCAGGGCTGTGAGTCACACCCAGCACCTCCTGAGAATCTTGCATGTTTTGGCCTCAGAGATCCAGTGGAACCACAGATGCAAAGGACAAAAAGACCCCAGGAGAAGACA